TATTCACTGTTGACATTTGTAATCAAATGGGGGACAGTCTTTGTCTTGTACAGTTAGAAGACAAAAGTGAGACAATCATAAGGTGAAAATCTCCATCTTGGACTATGTACACAGATAACGTTTGGACATAAACAGTTAATTTTTCGTCACTTTAAAACTGAAACTTAGATTATCTATTCTCAAATATAAAAATTCGGTTAGGTACTTTGCAAAAAGAGAAAGAGGTTGTCAATGTTTTCTGAAAGCCACTTTAATAATTCTTTTACAAATAATTACGTATAAGTAAACCATCTTAAAATGAATGAAAGTATATGTCAGAAAGAAGTATTACTATTGTAAATCTGCATCAGTCCTCACAAGTCGATGATGAAAACTGTAATACTAAAGCGAACATGGCAATGCAAACTGACGCTGTATATTACATGATTGAGGTAATTTCTTTTTTAAATATTGTGTTTAAATAATAGTAATTAAAGTTGTATTACAGTCTTGATGCCTTATTCTGATGAACGTTGCATTAAAATAAACGTCTGCCATATAAAATTAAAAAAAAAAAAAAAAAAAAAAAAAAAAAAACTTCAACTGTTATATCGAGAATAGGTTTCAAAGAATAATAAAATTTAAGAAGGCCCACAATCGTTTGAAAAGCCGGATGCCGGACACGTTGCCGGCCACTGATGTAGTAGAGTGACGTGGGACGCATGTTAAATATTTAGCCACGGGGTCATTGACCTTCACGGCGGAAGAGCTTGGGTAAGTGTTGTGGATAAAGCTGGTGCGTTAGAGCACTCGTATTGTTCTCGTGGTAGAGAAGCTAGGATTAACGTTTGGGTTTAGCCCTGTGGTATGATTTACTGCCGTCTGAAGGGTTGTGGGTTATGTTACTCCCAGTATGGGAGGGGGCCCCGCCCCACTCACTCCCACTTATGCGCCTGAGGCTTGAGTAGGTTTTATGAATAAAAATGTGACGTTTAACTCTGAGAGACATTAAATCAACATTTCATGAAAGTGATCTTTTTTTTTTCTTAAGTGATGTTTTTCTCATACGTCCTATTTTTCTCATAAGTGTTATTTTTCTCTTAAGTGATATTTTTCTCATAAGTGTTATTTTTCTCATAAGTGATATTTTTCTCATAAGTGATAATTTTATTGCAAAATATTTTTCTCATAAGTGTTATTTTTCTCGTAAGTGATATTTTTCTCATAATTGATAATTTTCTCACAAACGATTTTTCTAATATTAGTTTTTTTTTCATTATATTTTTCTCATTATATTTTTCTCATTATATTTTTCTCATTATATTTTTCTCATTATATTTTTGTCACATTATTTTACACAATATTTTTCTCATAATATATTTCTCCCAAGTGATATTTTTCTGATGATATTTTTTCTCATTATGATATTTTTTTTCACGACGCAGCCACCACAAAGATGAGCTACATCTGGAAGGCAATCAAATAATAACCCAGGACAGAGAACTCTGGAGATCTTGAGTTGGTCAGAAAGGGGTCGGGGGGGGGGGGGTATTTTCATCATATTTTATATTTTCATCATAAAAGATGTTTTTCTCATTAGTGATATTTTTTTCTAGTAAGAAATACTTTTCTCATTAATTTCGTACCCCCATCCCAGCCATACAGATCATTTAGTCGATCCGGTCGGCTTTTATTCTATAAGACAGTATCAAGCGATTACCTCCCCTAACCAAAAATGTATTAGGACCAGTTAATTCCCCTGCACAATAAAATATTCCAACCAGAGGCGTGGCTAAGGGAGGGTGGGTGGGGCGGCCGCACCGGGCGTCGACCTTAGGGTGGGGAGGGGGGCAATGGGTTGGAAAAAGATAATTAAAAAGCTAATTTTGAGCTGCATTAGAAAAGTATATACGTTCAAAGCTATGGAAAATAGACCACTGCTCGGTTTTACGGCTTATTTAATTGTTTTCTACATCAAATGTCTGACACGAACCATAAAAACCATTAATGGACAGTGGTTGGTAACAAGCGCCACCGACCTTTCCTAACGGGGGGGGGGGGGAGCGCTTTTTTTGCCAATATCCTTGTGAATAATCATACACATGAGGCGAAGGGGTCGAAAAGTTGATAGTCCGCCACGGACGCAAGAATCGGTCGCTACGCCTTCTGATTCCCATCAGTTACCTCCCCTTTGTAAAACGCAATTTGAACCAGTTACCTTTCCCTGAGCGAATATGCTATTACGTTGTTGTTGCTAAAAGTTTTAGAGTCAGTTTTCAATCATAAAATTATAGATCACCTACTATTGGTATTGTGACAAGTTACTTCCCTTATGTAATGTGACATTAGAGACGGTTACTTCCCCTGTTTATTGTAATCGGACAAGTCACATTCCCCGCGACCAATCCATACACCAACATAACACACTCAAGTAGCAGACGTCAGTTTCTACTCATGTCAAAGGTCGAGATGACCTTAAAAACAAACGGACCAGAACGACATGACACCCACACAACACAAGTAGCTGTTTAACCCAACACAGGTGTACTCGTGATTACGTCACATGTAAAACATGGCGAGAGGCTACGTCACAAGTAAAACATGAGGAGTGAATACGTCACAAGTAAAACATTGTCTATAGATCTATTTATAAACTTAGGTAAATCCCGTACAGAGTATTTAAGGGTGAGGAATGTTTAGGGCGCATTACATCACGTGACCGATGTTTCTAAATGTGGAGACGGTAACGTGACTTGCATTGTATGACCGCGGCAAATAAAACAATTGGTCGGTCATTGTTGACATGGTGAGCTATGTTAAATATAAGCTGCACCCGTTATTGGGGCCCCATACATTGTTTTGGTATGTACAGCATTTTTTTACAATTAAATTGTTGTATTTCAGCTTTTTAACATTTTTAGCATATTTTACAATTAAATTGTCGTATTGGAGCCGCTAAAATTTTTAGCAACTTTTACAATTAAATTGTTGTATTTAAGCTTTTTAACGTTTTTAGCAAATTTTACAATTAAATTGTCGTATTGGAGCCGCTAAAATTGTCAGCAATTTTTACAATTAAATTGTCGTATTTAAGCTTTTAAACATTTTTAGCATATTTTACAATTAAATTGGCGTATTTGAGCCGTTTAAAATTTTCAGCATTTTTTACAACTAAATTGTCGTATTTAAGCTTTTTAACGTTCTTAGCATATTTTACAATTATATTACATTGTCGTATTGGAGCCGTTAAAATTGATAGCAGTTGTTACAACTAAATTGTCGTATGTAAGCTTTTTAACGTTTGTATCAATTTGTATGAATAATTGTCGTATTCGAATTGCTACAATTTTTATCAATTTTTTATAACTAATTATGGTATTTGAATTGATTAAGATTTTCATAATTTTTTTTTTCCAATAAATTATGCATTTTGAACAGCCTGAAATGTATTTTTATTTTCAAATACAGATGGTGGCGTTTGAATTAATTAAAATTCTCAAAAATCGACACACGTGAAAGATGGCAGTCGAAGTATATAAGTTTTAAAGAAATATTCGCATTCGAATGGTAGAATCTGAATCATTTAATTAATTCTAAACACATTTTTTTGGCAGAAAAATGCCTGGCGTGGGATAGTCGCTAATCTGTTTAAATAAAACTATAGCGACAGGATAAATATACGATCTGTGTAGAGGAAAATATAACATTGACGTATATCACAAACAATGTAAATAGCACACCTGAAAGTCGTATTAAAGGTAATTAAGGAAAAGTCGTGATTGCTATTATATTATGATACAAATTAACTTTAATATAGAAGCTAACAATGACCCACTAGAACGAACGTCTTTGCCAGAGAAAGAAAGATAAAAAAATAAAGACTAAAATTGCCAAAGGTATCTTTACTATGCTAAAATGTTTTTAATAAACAGTTCAAGTATTCAATTTTCGTTTTACATTCCAGTTGGTACGTCAGTGGTTGTGTTTATGTAGAGTTGTTGTTCTTTTTTTTTGTAAGAATGTTTTAAATTTTTATTCTCCCGAATTATGTAGAAATCTGATTATTACAATACGGAACTGAATCGGTTACTGAAATAATTAGTAGCAAAATAATTTTTGAATGTAATTTTAAATTAAGGTTTCTAATTAATTTAGACGTATATATATATATATATATATATATATATATATATATATATATATATATATATATATATATATATAAGGGCGATGCATAATGTATATTATATATATATACACTTATATACATATATATACACACATATACTAACCAATATATATACATATATATATATATACATACACACACACATATATACATATATAGCCCTATATATATATATATAGGCCTATATATATATGTATAGGCCTATATACATATATAGGCCTATATATATAGGCCTATATATATATAGGCCTATATATATAGGCCTATATATATATAGGCCTATATATATATATATATATAGGCCTATATATATATATAGGCCTATACATATATATATAGGCCTATATATATATATATATATATATATATATATATATATATATATATATATATATATATATAGGCCTATACATATATATATAGGCCTATATATATATATATAGGCCTATATATATATATAGGCCTATATATATATATATAGGCCTATATATATATATATATATATATATAGGCCTATATATATATATATATATATATATAGGCCTATATATATATATATATATATAGGCCTATATATATATATATATATATATATATATATATATATATATATATATATATATATATATATATATATATATATAGGCCTATATATATAGGCCTATATATATATATAGGCCTATATATATATATAGGCCTATATATATATAGGCCTATATATATATATATATATATATATATATATATATATATATATATATATATATATATATATATATATATATATATATATACTAACAAACGAACAAAGGCTATACCAATTAGTACTTACTTCTAGAGCTGGAATTACCCATAGTGTCCACACGCAGGTAACGATTCCTTTAGTGGAGGTGTGTGATATCATGAGGGAAAAAGTTCCCCTAGAGGTCACAGAAGATTAACCTTTCACCTCGAGCACTGAGCACCCACCAGCACAGCACAAAGTATCCCCACAGAAAGCACACCTGACGTCACACAGACTACAACTAGCACGGGCGCTTGTCTTGAATTGGTTGTCACAGAATTTTTAGCACAAGATTTATTTTTCTAGACTGAGTGGATTTCCGTGTATTCTGAATCCAAACGGGAGAAAATATACCGTCGATATATTTATATCCTCTTAAACCTATTCAATATAGCTAAAATTAAATTCTTTATTTAGAGAAAAAGCTATGAAAACAATAGATTTAAATGCACTATAATATTGAACAAAGGATTACGATTTACTAGTTGTAATGTATTTTAGCATGTGAAATAAGATCATATGATTAAGATCGTTTCTGTAATAGTATGGGTTATATACATAAATAAGACTGGAATTGTATTCTATAATAGTTTTTTTGTAAGTCTTGAATAGCTTTAATGGGAGAGTCTACAATAGATTTAATGGGAGTCTAGAATAGCTATAATTGGGGGATCCTGAATACTTTAATTAATGTAAGTCTAGAATAGCTTTAATGTAAGTCTACAATAGCTTTAATGTAAGCCTAGAATAGCTTTAATGTAAGTCTAGAATAGCTTTAATGTAAGTCTAGAATAGCTTTAATGTAAGCCTAGAATAGCTTTAATGTAAGTCTATAATAGCTTTAATGAAAGTCTTGAATAGCTTTAATGTAAGCCTAGAATAGCTTCAAGGGGAGTCTAGAAAAGCTTTAATGTAAATCTAGAATAGCTTTAATGGGAGAGTATAGAATAGCTTTAATGGGAGTCTAGAATAGTTTCAATGGGAGTGTCTAGAATAGCTTTAATGGGAGTCTAGAATAGTTTCAATGGGAGTCTAGAATAGCTTTAATGGGAGTCTAGAATAGTTTCAATGGGAGTCTAGAATAGCTTTAATGTAAGCCTAGAATAGCTTTAATGGGAGTCTAGAATAGTTTCAATGGGAGTGTCTAGAATAGCTTTAATGGGAGTCTAGAATAGTTTCAATGGGAGTGTCTAGAATAGCTTTAATGGGAGTCTAGAATAGTTTCAATGGGAGTCTAGAATAGCTTTAATGGGAGTCTAGAATAGTTTCAATGGGAGTCTAGAATAGCTTTAATGTAAGCCTAGAATAGCTTTAATGGGAGTCTAGAATAGTTTCAATGGGAGTCTAGAATAGCTTTAATGGGAGTCTAGAATAGTTTCAATGGGAGTGTCTAGAATAGCTTTAATGGGAGTCTAGAATAGTTTCAATGGGAGTCTAGAATAGCTTTAATGTAAGCATAGAATAGCTTTAATGGGAGTCTACAATAGTTTCAATGGGAGTCTAGAATAGCTTTAATGTAAGCATAGAATAGCTTTAATGGGAGTCTACAATAGTTTCAATGGGAGTCTAGAATAGCTTTAATGTAAGCATAGAATAGCTTTAATGGGAGTCTACAATAGTTTCAATGGGAGTCTAGAATAGTTTCAATGGGAGTCTAGAATAGTTTCAATGGGAGTCTACAATAGTTTCAATGGGAGTGTCTAGAAATGTGAATGGTGTTTGGCATTGACAACGCACCTGGGGGTGTTAAAAGTTTATCTGGAACACACTAGATAAGAAACAACTCCACTGAAATGTTTTAAGGAATACAATTGAATTCACGTGTAAAGAAATGTATCACAGCACAATAAATCAATGAATTAGATTTCAGCTCAAAACATAAGCCTTTCCGGTGCTATGGAGTGTATTGCTACAGCTGTATTCGATGTAGCACCTAGATGTATTGTAGCACTAGGCTTTTGATGGTGGTGTGTAGGTTAGTAGAGAACGTAGTAGCACTTTAGCGAAGTGTAGCACTTTAGCGTAGAATAGCACTTTAGCGTAGTATAGCACCTAGAAAGTGTTGTAGTACTGGGCGTAGGCTGGTGGTGTGTAGTTTGGCAGATAAATGTAATCACGAAAATTGTAGCTCCAGCGTTTTGTAGCACTCTAGCGTGGTGTAGCACTTTGGCGTCGTGTAGCACTTTACAGTAATGTAGAACACGAGATGGTGAAGCGCTTTAGCGTTGTGTAGCGATCTGTAGAGTGGTACTTAAGCGAAGTGATGCACCCTAGCGTATCTCTCCTATCCACAGAACAATTGTACCTCTTATCCACAGAACAATTGTACCTCCTATCCTGTTATAGAAACGAGGGCCAAAACAATTGTACCTGCTATCCACAAAACAATTGTACCTCCTATCCACAGAACAATTGTACCTCCTATCCACAGAACAATTGTACCTCCTATCCACAGAACAATTGTACCTCCTATCCACAGAACAAAATTGTACCTCCTATCCACAGACCAATTGTACCTCCTATTCACAGAACAATTGTACCTCCTATCCTGTTATAGAAACGAGGGCCAAAACAATTGTACCTGCTATCCACAAAACAATTGTACCTCCTATCCACAGAACAATTGTACCTCCTATCCACAGAACAATTGTACCTGCTATACACAGAACAATTGTACCTCCTATCCACAGACCAATTGTACCTCCTATCCACAGACCAATTGTACCTCCTATCCACAGAACAATTGTACCTCCTATCCTGTTATAGAAGCATGGGCCGGAACAATTGCACCTCCGCAGAAAACCAACCAGCCATTGTTGTAGCCTATGTGGCCAGGTTTTTCACCAACGCCGGTCTAAATATTAATCTTCTCACACGGTGAACACGTGACCCTTCCCACCCCTCCGACCCCCCTCCCATTTTATCGCCACATCATAAAACGTCACTCAGGTAGGGGGAACTTAAAACCATTTACCTGTTGTGGGGGGGGGGAGTGTGGGGGTAGGGGGCGATAATGAAAAGAGAAAGTAGACTTGTCTTGCTGTCTTTCACTCAGGTCATCACCCAGGTAAAAAAAAAAAACGATTAACACGTATCTCAACTTGACGATAGGAACATGTCTGCAGTTGTTTTGCACCTTTAACAAAAAATTGATTTACCCAAACTTGATATTATCAATGTTCAAAACTTGATAGTATCAATGTTTAAAAAAAAATGCGTGGATACGTTACAGATTGCCTCAACAACAACATAGACACAGTGCTTTCTTAGGTTCAAATATTTCAATATTTTGTGTTCAAAACAAATAAATCTAGTCCACGTGTCTTTGAGCGAATCTATTTTTAGACTGCTATTGACTATTTATTAAACATCCGGTTTTCTGAATACTTTACTTCCATCCACACTTATGAAATCAATGCACAGATTATCGATAATCCAGATTAAGCACAAATAATATTTAATCTGCTCTTAATTTTGATTAAAAATTTTATTTCACAATTTTCACTTAGGCCGTTTTTCTGCAAGTTTACGAAATTATTTTTTCTTTTCATTGGCCTATTTGTTCCACCAAAGAACCGTAACTCTGGTCATTAATCCGTAGAGTGCTCTTCCTTCGATGCCGATGTCTGCCGCTGTTCCAATGTTTGGTCTAACTTCTTCGTTCTGGAGAAGAAATCAGAGAAGAGAGAAAAAAATCATTTCCTGGATTCCAAACTAGGTGCTGTATGCAAGAATACCGTAACTAGGAATTAGAGTGTGGGGGAAGGGGTGGTTGTTGTGTGAAGGGGAAGGAGGGGGGGATATTGGTGTATGAAAAATTAAGAAGAATTTTTTTGTTTACAATTTACGATAATTTACGATTCACTGCGATTGCTACCTCAATAAACAGACTGAATGTGTGAGTGGAGTGTTTCAGTAGACATACACACACACACACACACACACATATATATATATATATATATATATATATATATATATATATATATATATATATATATATATATATATATATATATATATATATATATATATATATATATATATATATATATATATATATATATATTGGGAACACGTGATGGTACAGTAATAGATAAAAGTACAGGTAATGTAACAGGTATATAGGTATATGTATAAGGTTATTACAAACACAGGTATTTATAGTATAATTTACACGTTTAGAAAAAAAAATGTAACTACAATGCTCTGTAGAGTTGAAATGCGTATTCCTATTATAAAACTTCAACGTCGTAGGAGGAACGTGTACATTTCAATCTTTACTTGTGTGTTAGTACAAAGCAACCATCACACTCGCAAACCCACGCAGGACTTTCAAAATAGGGCTATAAATTTCCCGTGATGGGTTTCTTTGTGAAGACTGGCAAGGATCAAAGGGCCCTTATTTTTTTATTTTTTTTTCTCAAGGGGAAAAATAAATCAATGTCCATAGATTATTTCCCCTTGTTTTTTAAGTTTTTTTTTGTTTTATCTCCCCTTAACACATAAATGAACATGATTTAACCTCGGTCTGATAGTTAACAATACGCCCATCGTGGTGAACGGGTTGTTACGTCATAAAATATGGGAGATGGGATGTGAAGAATGGGGAGGGATGGGGCGGTTGATATGGGAAGGACGGTGTGTGTTGGAGGTGGGGGAAGGGGGTTACCAAGACGAATCGGTCTTAAGTTGAAAGCGACCAAGGGGAGGTAACTACAATTAAAATTGACAAGGGCAATAAAGGTGACCTCACATCCGACATGGTTTTTTTTTTCCGTGGATTCAAGGACATCACATTTCACAATTTAAAAGGAAAAATCTGTGATTTTTTTTTTTACTCTAGCTGAAAGAGTATAGAACAAAAATAGATTTAAAAAAAAAAAACGTGTTTGTTTCGGAGCTTTTTAAAAAGTAGAATGAAAGGAGACTTGTTACAAATTACATACCGCACAGTTTGTGTGTAAGTACACCCAACACCTTCTCATGGTGTTACGGTGTGGTTGATGATTTAATACAACGCAATGATAGACTTGTTAGTAATGAAATCATGCTAAATACTTGTTAGTAATGAAATCATGCTAAAGAATTGTTAGTAATGAAATCATGCTAAACACTTGTTAGTAATAACTTCATGCTAAAGACTTGTTAGTAATAGAATAATGCTGAAGACTTGTCAATAGTGAAATCATGCTATAAACTTGTCAGTAAAGAAATCATTGTATAAATTTGTCAGTCAATTAACCATGCTATAAACTTGTCAGTAATGAAATCATGTTTTAAGACTTGTCTGTAAATCGTGTGAAAGGCTTATGGAGCGCACTTTAACTTTTAAATTTCACTTATAAAATTGTAATATATTTAACATGACTACTGCTTTATATTTTAAATAAAGTTGTGAAGTATTTGTTTTAATTCCAATAAATGTAACAAAATATACTAATAATTATAAACAAAATGTATTATTTATTTTTAATAAATAATGAATGAGTATAATTATTTTAGCTATAATAGCACTAAAAAAACTGTTGACTTTTTAAAACATTTATAAGTTTTTTCCCTTGGTTGGTTCGGAATTCTAAATGGGAAGTAA